ACACGTGCAACGTAAACAGAACTCATTTTTAAATTATTAAAATCCAGATGGAAAAATAAAATAAAAAAACGAAGCGTCTTTTTTTTCATATTAGGAGATCATTATTTTTACACTTGAGTCATCAATCCACACTGGTACCTATACCAAACCAAAGACATATTTTAACTGTAAGAAAATTGGGTTGGTTTGAAATCAATATATCAGTTGATGTATTTCTTGTTTCGGAAAATCGAAGATAAACTTCATAAGGACACAGATAATTCCGGACACGTATACAGCAGAGGAAGGGTCTTTCAGGGAACATTGTCCTCTTCCCCAAGGAATAAAGATTTGCACTTTATTTTAGAAGACATCTAGACTTATTTTCAGTATATATGAACCAAACTTTGGGCTATCAATGTAGGATTACTGATTATTACTTTAATGATTTATATGTTGTCATATATGTTCATTTCACTTGTCAGAAGTTTCCCTTTCTTATGCAACGTCCCATTTGATTTGTACGGGCCTACAGATATATATAAATGTATACAGTATAAGCTACTTATGTACTCTGAACTTGTCCTGTAATCTAGGTTAAATAGTTGCAATAGCTTAAACACAAAAGGTAAAGCGGTCCATTAGTAACAATAAATTTTTATGACGTGTCACATTAGCCGGTTACATTTCAACGCGCTAAAGCCGTTAATGTTTATAAAATGAGCTAATTAGGTATGTCTACGAAATTCATAAAAGTCGTTTTTTACAAGCCATTAAAGAAAAGGGAAAACTATTTTTTGGAGCACAAGTTCAAGCACGCCGAACAAGACATTTGAGGCAATAAGAACCAAAAATTCTAAATTAAATTTTATCCCCAAGTAATTCGTTATGTATAAGACTATCAAAGTTGAATTAAATACATTATTTAGTAAAAATGATTTTGCATAATATTTTGTATGAAATAAAATGATAAAATGCCTACAGATGCACATTGATTGATGTCTATTCTGTGTTAAGATAAATCATTTAAGTTGAGCTCTTTTTCTACGTAAGAACTGACGCACATCAACTGGCCCGGCTACAATTTTCATAATCAATATAATGGACTATTAAAAAAAACAGAATAAAAAATACATAGAGTTGTAGTAAATAGTGTGTTCCTACTAACCAACCCCTTGTTCATTTCGATATTTTTCCCAAGTGTGAGTGATGCTCTTTTCTAACTGAAAGCGGCTCTTGTTTAACATCTGTGCAATAAATGAGAAGGTCAGAGACCATCATCATCATAAGGTCATCAGTCCTGGACAAGCAACCCCACTCCTTCCTATCCTGAGCTAATCTTCACATTTTCATAAATCTAGATTATCCCACATCCTTAACTGTTTCCGAATGATAACCTAATCTAGGTCTTCCTCTACTCCTCCTAACTCCTGTTTCTGCCTGTAATATGTCTCTGACTAGACCTTCATGCCTGAGAAGGGGCCCTACCTATCTCTCCTATTTTTTATCAACTTCCATAGAGTCCTCTGTTCTATTCTTTCTAATACCTTCTCATTTCTAACCTCTATCCATGGTATCCTCATCATTTGCCGGTAACACTATATTTCAAACGCTTTACACCTTTAACAATGTTTTTCGAATTTCTAAATTAATCGTTCACGAGCATAGAACTGATTTCTTTTTATTCAAGGCAACTCGACCCTACCCTATCCTCTGCTTTAAATCCCCTACTTCCGTCATGACTTCTTTGACTTCCTGGGTACCTAAAATCAGCCACTTCTTCTAATCTTTCGTCTCATATCTTTACATTCGCTCTTTCCCTACTTTTTCTTCCCTTGCATACCAATATTTTTGTTTTACTTTTATTTATTTATGTGTGTCAACCTATAGAAAATTCTACGATCAGATATTTTCCTGAATTGACACTACAGAATATTTTTTCAGTCGAAATTTACAGGTCTTAGCTCAACTATAAGCTTTGCATGGACCACCATCTGTCAGAACAGCACATGGTTAGCTTGTGTTACCCATTTCAATTAATCAATTAAATGACATTTTGTATAGTTTAATAAGAAGCATTTTGCTTTCAAGATATGGTATTTTCTGCTGTTAAGTGTCTTTTTCTATCACTTGCTTCATTTGATGCTAGTCTCTCTGAAATAGTACTTCTGTAGTTATTATTATTATTATAATTATCCGCAGAGGGGTGATGAAGGTGAAATTCGTAAATCAAAGAAGATAATTAGTTGACATTTAATTTCTCATTTCTTGATTTGTTGCCGGTTGAAAGCGCGAGCGACATCCCATTCAATTAACCCAAATTGAGTAACTCTGACTTCTCGCTTACATTTGAAGTAATAGATAAATAATAATAATAGGGTGAAAGTCTTGACAACTCATTAGTAAACTTGATATACCGTTATACTTGTTACATAGTAGAAATTAAACTAGGAATTTCCTGAAAAATTCTACCACAATCGCAGGAAAAGGAAATTTCTGTTGATATTTCCGGAAAATTCCAAAAATTCATTGAAAAATTGACAAAATATATTCATTGTAATTCGAAAACTCACTCGCAGTTGTTATATATATACATATATCAAAAATTCTTAGGAAAGTAGACATTAATAATAGTAAAATAAAAGCCTTAATGTAGACTCAATGTTCACCCCTTTGAGATATTCTACATTAAAGTCTTTCTTCTTATCTCATCCAATACTTACACCCTCTACTTTCATTTCCCACTCTAAATCTCATTATATCCACCTCCTCCCCCTTCGAATACATTCCACGTTTCTTAACTCATTTATTTTTTCAAATCATCCCCCTTATCATCTCATTGGATCTTTTTCTCATCATCCCATTCTTCTCCGTTCATGTTCTTAATTTAGTTTTAATTTACTTAAGGCATATTCCCTTTATTATCCAGTTTTGGTCCCGATCTTCTCCTTCTAGATACTTCCTTTCTTATAGGAAACAGTAAATATTTCCGAAAAATTCCAAAAAGCTTTAATTAAAAAATTCATACACTCGCAGTTCATACCGATATTAAATCAAATATGTTAATTAAAATACTTATTTCAAAAATTCTTAGGAAAGTAGACATTAATAATAATAAAATAACAGCCATAATCTAGACTCAATGTTCACCTCTTTCAGGTTTTCTACATCAAAGTCTTTTCTTCTGTCATCCAATACTTACCCCCTCTACTTTCATTATCCACTCTAAATATTATTATTATATCCACCTCCTTCCCCTTCAAATACATTCCACGTTCCTTAGCTCATTTATTCTTTTCAAATCATCGCCCCTTATCTCGTTTAATTCCCTAATGCACTAGTAACCTGCTCAGACCGACTAAACTGTCGTCGAACAATTTAGTTGTAGTGTGCGCGTAGCCTAAGTATTTCTTAAAAACTATAACTATTTATATTATCTCCATTCCCATATGTATATTCCAGAAACCCCACACTTCTTAATATTACATCAAATAACGTTTTCCTCCTAATCCAATCATTTTTACATAACCTATGCAGCACCACCATATTTTTCCTAATAACGTATTCGCTTTCACAATTTCAGCAATCATATATACGTATGTATTTTNTATTTATATTATCTCCATTCCAATATGTATATTCCAGAAACCCCACACTTCTTAATATTACATCAAATAACGTTTTCCTCCTAATCCAATCATTTTTACATAACCTATGCAGCACCACCATATTTTTCCTAATAACGTATTCGCTTTCACAATTTCAGCAATCATATATACGTATGTATTTTATCATTAATATTCGCACCCTTAAATAACTTAAGTAAAGCCCCATAAATTGTGTTTGTTTTTGAATTTATTAATATGTTCCGCCACTTTTGTACCAATTATAATCATTCTAACACGATTTTTCTTGTGGTCGATTAGGCTTAAGTGTAGATATTAAAAAACATTTTATATACTAAAAAGAAATGGTCAGATTTAATTGCATATTCTACAAAAACTTCGTTCATAAAATATGCGGATTTTAATACTTTTTACTTTCGCAAATAACATTGCAAAAACTTTATACGCATCGAACTCAATTTGTACTGTCTCTTTATAACGAAAGTTACCTCCTGGACTCTATCTAGATATTAAAATGTACTTATTTTACTGGTAATGAGAAAGTAACTATTCGTTTAATGTTTACTGAGTCATAGATCTCTTATGAATTTAATCTTTAACCTGGCCACCTAGCGGATATAATGTTCTCATACAAATAAGGATATAATCGCATAAACAGCCAGCGGGTATTTATTTTGAATTATCAACGTTATCGTTCATGCATTAAATCATCAATAAATTAATAGAAGACAAATTAAGAAGATTTTATAAACATTGAGTAATCTTCTAAACTTTGAGTAAATGAGTGTTAAAAAAGGGAAATAGTTCATAGGTTTTTTCATTAAATTTGGGACAGCGGGTTGGAGTCGAAATTAGCTCGAAAAAGTTCGTGTAATATGCACAAAAACGCGAAGTCGTATTGCTCTTTTCTATTTTACGAATATGGCTGTTTAAGTCTCTAGAGTCTAGATTATGGAATATTCTCCCAGTTTTTCTGTATAACTCCCGAAAGTTTTGTTTATTACCATTTCACGTCTCAACTACTCAACCGATGATCATGGAATTTTGAACACACATTGTCAGGAATACAGAAAAGAACATACGGTACCTCTCATCCAAAAAAAAGGTACTGTTTCCCAGGGGTTGAAAAATTGTTTTAATGTGACCGTCAATGATCTTTGACACGTATCTAGGACATCAACGCGAGCGAAGCCGCAGATAAAAGCTAATAACTTTATAAATATAAATGACATTTAGGTAACGACCATCACAGCCATTGATTGAAAAATAACGAAAATAATAATTAAAAGGGGATTTTCTTTAGTTTTGTAGAGTTGGAAACCAATTTTTTCATTACGTTTCGCTGATTCAAACAGTATCAAAATGCTTTACCTTAAAATATATTGAATAACTTACCTAGCTGCAATAAGAAAAGTAGATACTAGACCACCTGAAAAAAGAAATAGAAAATTAGACCAAAATATAGGTTATTGCAAATGCTTTTACATACTTTTTATAAATAAATAATTTCAGTTGTATTTGATGGAAATTCATTACAATATTAAAAAATAATAAACTACGTACAATTTCNGATATAGAACAGAGGATAGCGCAGGGTCGAGTCGCCTTCAATAAAAAGAAGTAAGTTCTTAACATAGGTTAATTTGTAAATTTGAAAAAGGTTGTTAAAGGTGTGTTGGAGCGCGGCGTTGTACGGGAGCGAAACATGGACAATGGGTGCGCCGGAAAAGAAAAGGTTAGAAGCGTGAAGCATGAAGGTCTAATCAGAGACGTATTAGAGGCAGAAACGGGAGTTAGGAGGGGTAGAGGTAGACTTAGATTAGAATACTGTTCCCAAAAGTTAAGGATGTGGGATGTTTTAGATTTAGGGAAATACGAAGATTAGCTCAAGATAGGAAGGGGTGGAGGTGTGTGTCCAACGAACGTGATGCATATGTTGTAGATATTAAAAATGCGTTATCAGTAACGCAAAAAAAAAAAAATAGAAGGAATACGTTTCAATAGAAGTAGTTAGATAAAATTTTATGATAGAATGAAATATTCACGAACTCTTGGAATTGTATTAGCCGTGAGCACGCGGAAAATTTTTATTGAGTAATCAAATAATACTGCATTGCTTGCGAAGAAGTTTCAGAATGCGGGATTGACTTGCTGTTAGATAGTCGCTCCGATCCATGATCCAGCAGACCAAATCAACGCTCCACTTTTTTTTAGTCCTTACACCTAATTGGCGCCACCGAGAAAAGCGGGACAACAAACGTTCCGAACTCATTATGCGCAACAGATAAATAGAGCAAAAACAAGTGGTTGGTTAATGAATTTCATGGCTAATAAAACGGAAATTGGGCAAATCGAAAAATATTCAACGAGAAATATGAACCATGACCTACGCTCAAGGTGAAGGGAAACACATTCGTACACGCAATAGATTTTATGTAGCATGTTCAATATGATTTTAGTGATATGCAAACATTAAAAGATTGAATTCTGTTTTGAAAGATACGGCATGGTATAGGAAAATTCATAGCAATATCTTCAGTCGTCCTAACTCATATTATAAATGCGAATGTGAAAGAAAAGAACATAGGGTACATTGTATCCAGAAAAAAGATATTGGTACCGAGGGATAGAAGAATTAGTTTCACGTGTTCGTAGATGATCTTTGACACGTATCTAGGACATCAACGCGAGCGAAGCCGCAGATAAAAGCTAATAACTTTATAAATATAAATGACATTTAGGTAACGACCATCACAGCCATTGATTGAAAAATAACGAAAATAATAATTAAAAGGGGATTTTCTTTAGTTTTGTAGAGTTGGAAACCAATTTTTTCATTACGTTTCGCTGATTCAAACAGTATCAAAATGCTTTACCTTAAAATATATTGAATAACTTACCTAGCTGCAATAAGAAAAGTAGATACTAGACCACCTGAAAAAAGAAATAGAAAATTAGACCAAAATATAGGTTATTGCAAATGCTTTTACATACTTTTTATAAATAAATAATTTCAGTTGTATTTGATGGAAATTCATTACAATATTAAAAAATAATAAACTACGTACAATTTCTCTAGAACCTACAATGAATTCTTGATTTTTAAATTTATTGAAACATCTCATTATTTTGTGTTTTATTTAATTTACAGTGAAATGCACTATAAAGAACATGATTTTAGTCAATTATTTATTTTTATTTAAGGTATTAGAAGGAATTAGAGATAGCTATACATAAAATGTGGAAGTGGCTGATTTTAGGAAGTCAGATAGCTCAACACGGAAGGAGTAGTAGGGATATAAAGCAAAGGATAGCGCAGGGTCGAGTCCCTTTAAATAAAAAGAAATCACTTCTATTCTCGCTAACGGTTAATTTAGAAATTCGAGAAAGATTTTTAAAGGTGTATGTTTGGATCGTGGCGCTGTACGAGTACGAAACGTGGACGGCTGACCTGGCGGAAAAGAAAAGATTAGAAGCGTTTAAAATGTGATGAGGATACCGTGGATAGATAAGGTTAGAAATTAAGAGGTATTAGAAAGAATAGGAGAACAGAGGAGTCTATGGAAGTCAACAAGGAATAGGCGAGGTCACCTTCTCAGGCATAAAGGTCTAGTCAGAGACATATTAAAGGCAGAAACGGGAGTTAAAAGGAGTAGAGATAGACCTAGATTAGATTACTATTCGCAAATGGTTAAGGAGGTTGGATATCCTAGTTTTAGGGAAATGCGAAGACTAACTCAAGATAGGAAGGAGTGGGGTTGCCTGTCCAACCAGTCTTAGGACTGACGACCTTATGATGATGAAGGTATTAGGCGTATTCCAACTATGGGCTTTAGTAATTCTCAAGCAATTTATCATTAAACTTGTAGTACATTATGTGCAAAAATTAAAATCTTCCATCCGTCTAAACGTTTAAATACGTACTCTCAATGTAATTACACTTTTATTAATGCATGTACGTATTTGAATTTGAATTATCTGTTTGTGGCCTTAAGCATCCTTAAGATATTAAACTTTTAAGTAGATACTCCTTCTATGGAACTTTCATTTAAGTAGGCAGCAACATACATATGCAGGTATATGAAATTTGTGTTTAACTAGTTCCGTTCCTAGCGTAGCCGCTGATCATTTATTGAACGATTAGCTGATACTTCGCAGCTGCTGCTTTGTCTTCTAATTGCTGCATTTGTACCATATATGTAATTGAAGGTAAATAAGCGTATTTCGTATAGCATCCAAGGAATTTATTGGACGAATGTGTGTGGTTTATTAACGGAACGTGTGAAACCTGGTTTATACTTGGCATTATCGGCAAGGATTACTTAGCAGGATAACTGCGCATCAGTATTTAGAAAATTTAGTTATAGTTATTGTTGACTCGTTTAAGCTAAAAGAAAAATAGATGATTTATTTAATTATAACTTTTCAGCCACTTAGAACTTTGATTTCAAATTTTTTATCAAAACATCCCCCTGCCTCACTTTAGCATCATCATCATAGTCATAAGGAAGTAACTCGAACATCGGATGCATGCACATTTTGAGTAAAACTTCGCATTTTTCGAAATTTTGATAAAGCCTTTCGCTGCAGTTGAACTGATGCTAATTCGGGTGTAATGTTGGACAAAAATATCGATAATTATCCATATTACGATAACAATAATAGCAACTGATAACTATCTATGGATAACCATCGTTAGTTATCGCTATATCGATATATTCGATAATTATCGATAGTTATCAATATATCAATAGGCATATTATCAAAAAATTGATAACTATGGATAATTATCGAATATGTATATCGATATATCCATAGTTATTTGTTGTCGAGTTATAATATTGCAAAATTAAAAAATAAAAATTCTTGTTATATAGGTGGGAAATAGAAAATTGCAAAATACCACTTGTAAATATTAATATTAAGGTTCATATTTTAACAATATGTACATATCTCGGAATATTTTCTGAATGTTGTTCAAAAAAGAGTTAATTTTGTTCAAGCACCTTATTGATATATTGGACATTGAGGTATATCTAGACTTTTACAACTTCCCTTTAATTTTCATAGAAACTATCTAAAAAGTCCAAAATTAAAAAAGAAAAATTCCTGTTATTTAGGTGGGAAATAGAAAATTGCAAANTATTTTGAAAATACTGTGCAAATTTTTCGGTATTTAGATTAAATGGGGAACGGCTATCTTCCCTTGACGTCCGACAAATTTTTAATACGCATTTCTAATTTACAGTAGCTAGGTATCTCCGTCAATTGTCGATTATTTTCAAAAACGTATAAGTCTAAGTCTAACGTAAATCCAGTTGAAGATAATGCAGCAACGTGTAGGAAATGGCTTAAATTGAAGTAGCTACGACTACAACAAATCATAACTGGTCTTTGTCAAAGTTAATGTTGTGAACAATGCCAGGCGAACAGGTGTGGTGATAATTTAGTAGCTGTCATCTTGTTAAACAATATGCTATTAATTTAAGTCAAGACATTCCTATTTCCTTGCATTTTTTTCCAAAAAAGAAAAGTCAAGCATCAATCATACTTACAAGTTAACTAACTCAACATTTGAATTGTGTTTTTGAACATAAAAATTGGTAGTTGTGTAAAACATATGTACGTCAGCAGTACTTTTAAAAGTTCCTTATTTGAAGAAAATAAAACAGAACGATTTTTTATTAACATCCCCTAAATACTACAAGTATATGTATAATTGTTAATGACTTTAATATTACGGTCTCTTATAATGCAAATTCCTTATAAAAGCAAATGAAGTAAAGTTTGCATTTACATAATCAATTACTACTTTTGATTTTAACTCGTCAGAGAGCACAGCTTTAATTCAGAATTATTTCCTTCCCCAAGAAAAGAAATTTCGCCTTTAGTAATAACCAATTAAGTAAAACTTCCTAGCATATAATTTATTGCAGGAGAGAGTGCATTAAGAGATGGCGTTGTTAGCACGACAAACCTTTAATCACAATATCATCACCATACAAGGCGACTAGATATAATATAATAATATCTTCGGGCATAAATAGCTAAAGGTAATTTAATATTATTTCTTTATGGTCACAGTTTTATTAAGAACCCAACAGATACATACATATCCACACGGCGTCAATTGATATTTATTTTGCCTTAGTTTCTCAAAAACATTCTGGGTATTGACCTTGAAGCTTTTGCGAGACTAATAACGTAAAATAGGACTAAAATTAAGCTCTATGACAGTGTGAGATAAAAAACACAGAGCAAAGCTAAAATTAAGCTCTGTGACATAGTCTCAAAGTTAGTGATCGTATGTTTATGCTAGTTAGTCACATTAACGAGACGGGGAAAGTTCCGGAGAATTACGGAAAGTCGGAAGTCAGAACAAATAAGCAGTAGGGATATAAAGCATATAAATATTAGAGGCAGAAACAGAA